TTACATTCTTTTATATTTTTATAATAATTATTTTTCACAGATAACAAATCAAATGATTGAGACATGCAAGTCTTACATCACTTGTCGCTGCAAGGAAACAATTTGGTCTCAAGATCGAACTCTTATACGCACCAAATTGAGCAACTGCATCAAACTGAATCATATTTACCATGAGACCTATTATACAGTCAGAGAGCAGCCATTTTTGCCGCATCAAACTCCATTTGGATTCTCCGAAAACTTTGTATTTGGTGGGTGAGCAAGAGTATTATAAATGAAAGGAGATTTTAAGTGTTTCTCTCTTTAGGCAAATTCGACACGTTCTGCGAGCGTCTGTCGAAAATTATAAATATGTTTAATCTAATTGACGATTATAATCATTTGTTTGAGCGCCGTTTGGAGGGTCTGCTGCTAGGCGAGGCCTTGGAGGATGCCTCCAATCACTTCGAGGAGGCCAAAAAGGAAATCACATCCAAGAAGTACGATTACCTGGACCACCGCAATGCAGATTTCAATGACGACTTCGATCGATTCATGAGCAAAACGGATTCGCTCAAGGATACGATTGCCACACTGATCGAGCGAGACTTTGACACGGTGTGGGAGACGCCTCAGTGCATTCGCTTTCTGGTGCGCTTCGAGAAGGTCAGCGAGAAGATACCGCTGACCCGCATGGACGAGAAATACACTCGCATACTGCGCTATGTTGAGAAAGAGGTGGACCGCATACTGAAGACCTTTCGCCGGCAGCGCGATGATCCGCCTCTGGCTCGCAATTTTCCGCCCATAGCTGGGCGAATCCACTGGTGTCGCGCCTTGCGCTTGCATCTATCGGAGCTGATGGATGCCGTCATGGATCATGGAGTGCTCAGTACGCTGCCCCTGGCCAGAGATCTAGATGTGCGCTTCAACAATGTGATGGGCGTCTTGCAGGAGTATGAGGATGAAATAGTCTCCATTTGGCTGGATCAGGACATAAGTGTGGCCGATGCCTGCCTGCTGCAGCCGCTGCTCTGTCTGCAGGGCGATCGACTGTTTGTCAACTTGCATCCCACAATTCCTCTGCTGATTCGCGAGGCCAAGATGCTGGCCAAGCTGAAAATCGAGCTGCCCATTGTGGCTGCCACGCTGATGAGTCGCCATCAGTATTTCATCACCATACAGGACTCGCTGAATGTAAGGCGAGCCAGCTTTAACTGCTCGCAGTTCGTCTCTTACTTGTTGATTTTTTCCTATTTCCGTAGAGCCTTATCAAAATGTTTTTGTCCACGGTCAAGGCTGTCAAGCTGGAGGTGCGTCCCTTGTTCCTGCCCCAGCTGGTGCGTCTGACGGCCATGCTGAAGCCGGGTCTGCACACCATCAATGTAAGTGCCTCAGTCTGCCCGCTGACGCTCTCTGCCACTGACAATCGCACTTCCGTTTCGTTCCGTTCCGTTTTTTTCATGCAGTGGACCAACCAGAACTGGACTCAATTCTATGACCGCTGCAAGCAGGCCATTGAGACCTTCGAAGTGTTGGTGGCGCGCGTGCACGACATCTACTCGAATCGCATACTCAACGTGCTCATGTGGATGCAGGAGGTGTCGCTGCAGATATTGCCAGCAGGTGTGACCCCCTTTCTAATTGCTGGAGCCTACTTGGGTCTCTATTTAATTTTATGCTTTTCGAAAACTTTGCACATTTATTTCCTGCTGCAGACGATGAAATCTGGACAGTTGATGAATTTCTGGAGCGCAGCGAGGAGGCATGCAGGTAAATTTGTTACCTGCCAGTTATGAATATGTGTATATGCCAGTATGTATGCGTGTGTGTGTGTGTGTTTGTGGCATGTGGCAACAAGATTCGCTTGAACTTTGCCATCAAGTTAGCTGCCTGCGGCTGACTTTGCCAGCTTTTGTGTGATTTATTGAATTTATCAATTTTAATTTATGTATGAGATTTTTCATTTGCATAGATACAAAGCTTGATCTGCATATAAAGGAATGTGTGCGAGTATGTGTTGTTCTGTGCACCCCAGGCTCAACATTAATCAGACCAAATGCGATTTCATGTGCACACATGAAGTTTACCTAAGTATTCGTATTTGATTTGCTCTTCTATTAAGCATTATTTCAGCAATTGCAACTGTGTAAATATTATCAAAATTCCTTTTGTCACCCACAGAAAAGCTGCCATCGAGCTCAATCGGAAAAGTCAGATGGTCTCGGAGGCAGTGGAGGAAGTTCTCAGTTTGGTGGACAAGGCAACGGAGACGTTTAAGGAGATTGCTGGCGATGATGTGGTTACCTTGTTCGACGGCAAGTCCTGCAATTGCTATGCAGCTCAACTCGATTCAATGTATGCAAATCTCTCTTCAATAGCCACGCCCAAGGGCGACCAGTCCGCATCGGGTGGACGCAAGGCAGAGGAAGGCGGTGCAGCTGGAGCTTCAACGGCGAATGCATCGGGTGGAGCTACATCGGGTGGAGGGGCTGGCGGTCAACAGCAGGACTGGAGCATTTTGTGGTCCTGTTTTGAGAATCCACTGACGCTGCTCTCCACCACAGACAGTCTGCCCAAGGGCATGCAGGTGGACGCAGAAATTGCTTAGCATAGAGAGTAACTAATATATTCCCGGTTTGCCTTAGGACATGGTCTGCAATGCTGTCGTCGAGATGCGCCGCTATTACAGCCGCAAGGTCATCGATGTGCTGATCAAGGTGATTCGCGCGGCCCTGGACACACTGCGGCGTCGGTTCATCGCCGATGAGAATGAGACGGCATTGAAGAAGCCGATATTTGCATTGCACGCGCAGCTGCAGATACCCAATGTGGTGATCAAACCGAGTCTGGACGAGCTGCAGGACATTTTGGTGACGGCTGGCAAGAATATCACGGGCATTGCGAAGGGTGTGGCGCAGTGGACCAGCGGCAAGGATCCGCCGGTTCGTACCACACCGTTAAATAGCTTCGCAATGTTCTCAAAAATCTTGTCTTACCAACCGCAGCAAGTTTCGATGACGGTGCAGCCGCGCGTCGGACGCAATCACACGGATGCCGCTGGTGGCTCCAAGAATCGACGCCGCAAGATCTACTGCCTGGCCTCCGAGGAGCGACCCCAGATGCCGTACATGCTCAAGAGCTTCTACTCGGCTATCATGGACAACAAAGAGGTGGCTAAGGCGCTCAATCAGCTCTCCAGCTGCACCAAGAACATCAAACCCGAGATTCAAACCTACATCAAACGCTGGAAGCCGTATCACTTCCTATGGAAGAACGATCGCACCACACGCCAGCTGATGGAGTTTGGACTGCAACAGTTCGAGTCCACATTGCGCTGCCTGGCGGAGCTGGATGCGAACCTTCTAATTGAGCCGGACATGGAGGTCTTCGGGCAGTGCGTAGCGGTCTATAATGAGAGGCTCAAGTATGGTTTGGCCATTGAGATCAAGTGTGAGTAGTCCAGCCGGGGTACATAATTGTATAGTAAATAATCTGTATATATTATGTGTAAATATAATTTCATAATAACATTGCTTATAGGGAACATTCAACTCTTCAATATATAAATATATAACTTATATGTGGAGTAAGAATAATGAATTGTACAAAGCTTATTGCTAAAGAATGATTGGAATTATTATAGTAATGAGTGTGAAAAGCTTATAATCCTATAACAAACAATAATTCCCATATATAATATATATTTTCAAAATCATATTGGTTATAGAGAACATTCACTTCATCATAAGACCACGTAAATCATATATGAAGTGTAATCAGTTCTTCACATTGATTGTAGACATTTTAGTATACATTACATTAAATTATAATCCCATAACAAATTATTTATCAAATGAAAATAATTGTCATATACCTCATATTCATATTGCTTATAGAGAACATTCAACGCAATATATAAATTTTACAGAAGGATTTTAGACATTATAGTAGACATTCGAGTTTTATTAACGTATAATCCCATAACAAATTATATATATGTATTATCGGAAAATAATCCTCATAAATAACATTAAAATTCATCATATATGAGTTAAAAGATATATGTTCAATAGAGCTACCATATCTTGATTTTAGATTTGATCGAAACTGAAAATGGAATTTGATTGTCTTATCCTATTACGTTTAGTAGTATTTCAATTTAAATATTAGTCCACTTGAAGTCTCTTTCCCACATATGCCTCCGACTTGTTTTGACATGTGGGTTGTGTTAATTTGATTTCCTTTGGCAACACCTTAAACATTTATCAGTTTATTCGTCATAAATTTGACACCCACGCACACTAACATCCTCGCACAGACACACACACACACATATTGAGTCGTAGACAAATAGACCTTAGCATTCAGCTATTCAAATTTATTGGTTTCCAATTAGGTAATCAAATTTATTTTGCCGCATTAGCTGTGCTGTAGGAAGCCCAAGCAAATAAATGTGGGTCCATGTTGCCACGTCTGGTTGCATGAATGCGAATTCAAATACGAGAGCGCAAATCAATTATCCCCCTGCCAAGAGTTTTGCATTGATTAATGGCTTTCCTTATGCCCTAGCAAGGTGTAAACAGTTTTTGGCTCTGTTTCACTTTTCAGCCTGCAACCATAAAATTGGGCAAGCCATGAAGAAGAAATATAAGAAGGAAATGGACTATGTGTATGCAGTGATCAATGAGATGGATCGTAAACTGGACCGGCCCATACGTGACCTGGACGATGTGCGCATGATAATGGAGACACTGAGTAAGATACGCGAACAGGAGGTGGACATGGAGCTGCGCATAGATCCCATTGAGGTGCGTTCCAAGTGTGCCAAGGCATCATAAGTTCTAGAAATTATTATTATTATTTTCTTTACTATGTTCAGGAAGCCTTCAATGTGCTCACCCGCTATGAGGTGCAGGTAGAACGGGAACAATTCGATTTGGTGGACAATTTGCGGACAACATTTCAGAATTTACTCTCTGCGGCGCTGCAGGCGCAGGTGAAACTCTTGGAAATGCAGCCGGCGTTCCAGGGTGACTTGCGCAGCAATCTAGACAACTTTAAGCAGGATAAGATTGCCTATGTGACGGAATATCGCACAGCGGGACCCATGCAGGCGGGTCTAACGCCGCGCGAGGCTTCCGACCGTCTGATACTGTTCCAGAATCGTTTCGAGGGCATGTGGCGCCGCCTGCAGACGTACCAAAGCGGCGAGGAACTCTTCGGTCTGCCACAAACCGATTATCCAGAGCTGGGCCAGATACGCAAGGAGCTCAATTTGCTGCAGAAACTCTACAAGCTATACAATGATGTGATTGATAGGGTTAGCAGCTACTACGACATACCGTGGAACGAGGTCGACATTGAAGAGATTAACAATGAGCTAATGGAGTTCCAGAACCGTTGTCGCAAGCTACCCAAGGGCTTAAAGGAATGGCCCGCCTTCCATGCTCTGAAGAAGACCATCGACGATTTCAATGACATGTGTCCACTATTGGAGTTGATGGCGAATAAAGCCATGAAGCCACGCCATTGGCAACGGATCATGGATGTTACTCGCTACATCTTCGAGTTCGACTCGGAGGGTTTCTCGCTTAAGAACATACTGGAGGCGCCGCTGCTCAAGCACAAGGAGGACATCGAGGATATTTGCATCAGCGCCATGAAGGAGAAGGACATTGAGGCCAAGCTCAAGCAGGTGACCAACGAGTGGTCTGTGCACGAGCTCCAATTCATGAGCTTCAACAATCGCGGCGAGCTGCTGCTGCGCGGTGACACAACAGCCGAGACCATTGGCCAGCTGGAGGATAGTCTAATGGTGCTCGGCTCATTGCTATCGAATCGCTATAATGCGCCCTTTCGCAAACAAATCCAGCAATGGGTCTACGATCTGTCCAATTCCAATGAAATACTGGAACGCTGGCTGCTTGTACAGAACATGTGGGTCTACCTCGAGGCGGTCTTCGTGGGCGGCGACATAGCCAAGCAGCTGCCCAAGGAGGCGAAGCGCTTCTCCAAAATCGACAAGTCCTGGCAGAAGATAATGCAGCGCGCTCACGAGACTCCAGGTAAGTCGATTGCAATATTTTTCCGCTTAAGCTATATATTTTAATATAAATTCTACTCAATTCCTCATTATAATGTGGCCTTTTCCTAAAATATAATTACATTACAAATGTTTAAAATTTAATAAAAAATTCTAAAAACAGGCGTGGTGGCCTGCTGCGTGGGCGATGATCTGCTCAAGCAGCTGTTGCCACATCTTCAGGAGCAGCTAGAAATATGTCAGGTACTACCTATATAAATATACAAATGCCTGACGTGGATGTAGCCTTAAAACTTGTATTCGAGCAAATATTAAAATATGTATTTATTTTAATTGCCCTCCTTATGCAGAAATCCCTGAGCGGTTATTTAGAACGCAAGCGGATTATGTTTCCGCGTTTCTTCTTCGTCTCGGACCCAGCTCTGCTCGAGATACTTGGCCAGGGCTCCGATTCGCATACCATTCAGAATCACTTGCTAAACATCTTCGATAACACCAAATGCGTCAAGTATTACAATTGAAGTGCAAGTGGAAATTTATTTGGGATTGAATATGCCTGATTTTAGGTTCCATGACGTAGAGTACAACAAGATGATGGCGATCATTAGTAGCGAGGGCGAGATGATACAGCTGGATCGAGCCATACGAGCCGAGGGCTCGGTCGAGACATGGCTAACTCAATTGCTGGTCACAGCACAGCAGTCACTGCATTCCATCATACGCACAGCCTATGCGACAATAAACGACCCGAATTTCACGTTGTTGAGCTTCTTAGAGAAGGTGCCGGCACAGATTGGTTTATTGGGCATACAAATGATTTGGACGCGCGATGCAGAAATGGCTCTGATGCAGGCCAGGCATGAGAGGAAGGTCATGTCCGAGACGAACAACAAATTCCTTGAGATGCTCAACACGCTCATCGATCAGACGACTCGCAATCTGTCCAAGCGCGAGAGAACCAATTTCGAAACCTTGATTACCATCCATGTGCATCAGCGGGATATTTTTGATATACTGGTAGACTCTTAGGTACAGACTCTTAGGTATACCCTGCTGAAATATGTCGTTTACTTTACAGTGTCGCATGAACATCAAATCCTCAAATGACTTCGAGTGGCTAAAGCAATGCCGCTTTTACTTTAAAGAGGACTTGGACAAGACCTGGATATCTGTCACAGATGTCACATTCACCTACCAGAACGAATACCTGGGTTGCACAGATCGGCTAGTGATAACGCCCCTGACAGATCGGTAAGCCCTATTTATAATTTTATGCATTCCCCATCAACAACTTTATCGTTACTATTTAATGCAATTATGTGACCACGTTAAGCGCTTCAGATGGCTGCCTTTTAAATTGAATTAAATGGTTGCTCTTAAAATGTTATAAAGTCGACAGCTTGGTTAAGTTAATTTTAGCTTTAGTTAACTAAAAAAAGCTTTGGCTAATGGCACAAACTGTATTCTGTCATCCGCTTTTTGGATGGAGCAACTGTCTGGTGAAACCGCACATAGGGTTTAACAAAGGGTGGGATAGAGAGGGACAGTGAGAAGGAGGGAGTTTTACTAATACTTCTCTCCCTCTACGAAAATGGCTTTTGACAGAGTTGACTTTATATAGTTGCAGAATAATATATATATTTAATATAACTTATTAAAGCCGCTATCGTAAGATATCAAATGTCAATATTTAGCCTAACTAACTAATCGAKTTTGTTGTAAAACTTTCCCTTGGAACAGCAATTAAATTTCAGTCTCATTGCCAATGTCATAAGAACTTCAAGTTTAACTTCATTGTTTGTGAAACAGAAGTTACGATAAATTAATTTATTGTATTTACATTCCACGTGGCACGTGCAAAAACTTTCACGCAGTCCAGCAATTGAGGCATTTCGGGCGTACGGCACACGCCCCGCACAGTCCTCGCCATTGGCGTTGCCCAATTGCGCTGGCCAAACAAAACTCAAACATGGCCAACAAGTGCTGGTCGGCACTTGAACAAGTTCAAAGTCGATACGCAATGGCAATAGACAGTGGCAGCAACAGCGGCCACATTGAAATCCTTTCAACGGGGCTAGTGTACGGCGGACAGCCCACGCAGCCGGGCGACGGCGGCGAGGACGAGGACGACGTCGTTGACATGCTCGCAAAGATAAATTTCACTTAGAAGAATATAAATAAAGTTTTGGACACCTAAACTGTTCTCGTGCAACATTTCACTCTGAACTCCCGGAAAGCTAACTGACGGCATATTTCATCAAACATCCCGAGGCAATTTTTGGCCAATACACTTTCAAAGGGCATCACGAATCTGCTGAAAGCAATCTAATGAAAGCTCTAGTCTATAAAAATAAAAACCTTAATTTGTTGTACAAGTAAATTAATGATTTCATATAGTTAGGTAAAGTAAAGTACGGATTATTTATAAAGCATATTCATATGCATATATCATATATATCATAGACCTACTGCTCTTACCCATATCGACTGTTATAAATTGCAAACATTATCTAAATAATACATCATTATCTTCAGTCTGAGAGGGTATTTGGAGTTTATGTCTTTGACATCAGCGTTCTGTTCGAACTTCCGTCTCTGCACTGCCTCCGACTTTTGCGTTGTTTATCATGCGAAGCATAGAGGCCTTGTTCTTTGCGAGTTATTGTAAATTTCACGCTTGCTTTGATATCGTGGCGGGGGAAATGCCAAGGGGAATACGTAGCTTAGCTCTTGGCTGACAGCACCTGCTTAAGCTAAATGGCAAGTGTTGTACGGCGTTAACGTAATTTGTCTTTATGCTAAGTTGCCAACTGTCTCTAAGGAAATCGTTGGCACTTAAATAATAGAAAATATTCCTAAGAAATGATAATGAAAAAGAATATTAATTTGTAGACTTTTGCATTTTAAATGCAATTTTCTACGGCTTTCCATAAGTAATCCTCTTTCACGCCCACTTCCAGTTGCTACATTACCTTAGCCCAGGCGCTGACACTCAGCATGGGCGGAGCGCCGTGTGGTCCGGCGGGCACGGGCAAAACGGAAACTGTGAAGGATATGGGCAAGACGCTGGCCAAGTATGTTGTCGTTTTTAATTGTTCCGATCAAATGGATTACAGGTAAGACAGGACTACAAACAAAAGACAGCTGGCACTTAAAATGCGGCCCACATCGCTGCGCCACAACTCATTCAATTTCGCGCTGCTCTCGCTGTTCCCTTTGTGCAGGGGCCTGGGTCGTATCTACAAAGGTCTGGCACAGTCCGGCAGCTGGGGCTGTTTCGACGAATTCAATCGCATCGAGCTGCCCGTGCTGTCCGTGGCGGCCCAACAGGTGGCCGTTGTCCTTACCGCCAAGAAGGAGAAAAAGAAGACTTTCCTCTTCACAGACGGCGACACCATCGAAATGAATCCCGAGTTCGGCATCTTCATAACCATGGTAAGCAACCGTTGACTCTAGATGAACATATTTTATTGCATACCCCAAGTGCCTAGTTAATGGCTCTGCTAATTCAACTAGCGCACTTTATCACGCTCTCAGCTCGTCGCAATTGCCATTTTCTCTAATGTACTTAACGCTAATTTCAATATACTTAGTAGCAATTTCTGTGTGTGAGAGTGTGTGCGTGTGTAGGTGTGTGAAACTCATATGAGACTCTTTTGATTAAAAATGCTCTTTTTATCCTTTAAGCATGTGTGTACATTGTACAATATGTACAATGACCCGGGGGTCAATAAACAGCAAAGCTTTATTAGGCATAAATTCCTATATTAATATAAATGTTTATTATACCCGACAGACAGTGGACGTTGTATAAGGGATATCATTAAGTCGAGCTAATTTCTTATTTATTTAAAAATTGTGAGATATTATGCTTTAATAAATTGGTGAGTCAAGCGAACTTCAATTTCGATTTCTGAATTGAATTTGTTATATTTTAATTAATGAATGCCACACATTGCGAAGTGTAAATATATGTAAATATCGAACAATTTGAAAATGCGATGTGAGGATACATATTTCGTACGTACGTCCAACGTACTTTTGCCGTCAAGCCAAATTTAAAAGCCAGACAAAAAATGCAATGCACAAAAATATAAACGGGTCAAAAAAAATTTGCGTCAAGCGCGAGGCTTTCAAGTCAAATTGATATTTAATAAATATACATATACGCTCTCTGTTTTTGCGAAACACACATAAAATTTTTATAAAATTGTATAAAGAAGCGCCAGCCTGGAAAAAAGTAAAGCATAAAAAGCAAAAACATTAAGGTCGCTTGGCGAATTGCTCGGGTGGATGGAAGGTGGGGCAAGGCGAGGGGGAAGTCAGGGGTTCAAAGTGCCAGCAGCTTTTTGCAATGCCGCGTTATTAGTCATGTAAAATTTTACTCAACTTAAGCGATAATTAAATTGACAGCTACACACACATACCCAGGGAGAGACAGAGAGAGATAGCTGAGCATCCCATCTCTGACATCGCATATAAAATGTGATTATTTCGGGCATTTAGGCGAGAATGAATGGCTTATTAACAGGCAGCCAAAAAGTGCTGTCTAGTGCCGCATTTTAATTATCAGCCCACTGCCAACTATCAATATGTAATGCGATTAGCTGGCGCACTCTTATACAATCTGCTGTGCTCTGCTCTGGCCAGCTCTGCTGCACGCACACGCGCACAGCCATTAGCACAGGTTTTTGTTTATGCCGGGCACTCGGGTCGTATGCGCAATTTTAATTTGCCCAACTGAATTATTGGGCGCGTTTATGTAACAGTTGCCGTCCCCTTTGGGACTGCATTTTGATTCTAATGAAACATTATATGACAGCAGAGCACACATAAATACATCCACACACTCACACACACACACATGCGCTAGCTGTTCCCGTTTATTGGCTAAATCCTTTGTTGTGGCTACTTTGCTTATTTCTATGCAGAAATAAAGAGGAAATATAATGGGCAACCCCACAATAGCACGTTGTCGCAACTACCTTGCCACACCCTGCCAATTCACCGCCGCCCACATTCAACACATAGACTATGTTTACATTTGGATTAGCGTGCCACAAAATCGATTGGTTTATTTTCTTCTCATTTACCTTCATTTTTTGCTAGTTTCTGCCCGTATCAAATGTCCCCATAAATTGACAAATGGGTTCTTACTTTTGGTTAACATGCGACAGTTTTCGACGTTCTAATAAGTTGATTGCCTATCTAGATTATGTTTCCGGCATTTGTGTGAAATTACTTGCGATTAATTTGAAAGGATTTGCTAGCAAAAAGTTTTCCCCAATTTGCAGTTCAGAGTCGTATTTAAGATTTTTATATACATTTGTAAAGAAATATTGAATCATATTTATAAATTCTTTAATTTGTTCTTTATTTTTATTTAATTATATAAATCTACTTTCTAAATAAATAATATTTTTGGGTACTATAAAAATGTATATTTTTCTTTTTTTTATTACTAGTACTGGATATTTAACTCGTAAATTTTATGTTTTTACCTTTATTCTATTTAAGTTTTATTCTTGTTACTGAATATTTGTTTTTTAAGCATACAATTTAATTTAAATTTGATTCTCTATTGTAATTTAATTTATTTTACTTAAAATAAATCTTTCGATTCGGAATATATATTTTACAAATTATTCAATTCACTTTGTAAATTTTATGTTCTTTTACTTAGTCTGTATTTAACTATCTCTTCTGCATATTTATTTCACATCAGCTTACATATTGATGAAATTTTCCTGAGGCACCTTTCAACCCACTTTAATTTGTGCAACTATATATGTATGTATATCACATGCAACTCACCTTTTAAATTTCCACCGTAAAATTGTGAATGGCACACTAACACTCGCACACTAACTGTATTTTATTCGCTGGCTGGCTACTGCCTCGCTGTAACTGACTGTGTGAATGAGGGAGGAGCACATGCACAGTGCGAGTAAGATAAATCAATTTGTATTTGATAAACTTATTGATATTTGCGAGTCGCTTCCAAATGCGTCAAAATACACCGCCAGGTGGTTGAGTTATGTACGATGGCTGAGGTGACAGGGTGCCAGGGTGCCAGGGTAAAGGGTGCCGAGTGGATCCACTCTTGTGTGTGGGGTCCCATCGTAGTGACTATGTGGTACACTCGTGCACAATATTTGCAAGCATTTATTATTTATTTACAGTCCACATGCAGAGAGCAATCGAAACATGTGTAAAGCGATTTGAAATGTTTACCCACAGAATCCTGGATATGCTGGTCGCAAGGAGCTGCCGGAGAACTTGAAAATTCAATTTCGCACGGTGGCCATGATGGTGCCTGATAGACAGATAATCATAAGAGTGAAATTGGCTAGTTGTGGATTTTTGGAGAACATCACCCTGGCCCGCAAATTCTATACTCTATACAAGCTGTGCGAGGAGCAGCTGACCAAACAAGTTCACTATGATTTCGGGCTGAGAAATATATTGTCCGTGTTGCGCACATTGGGCGCAGCCAAGCGCCGGAACTCTAAGGATAGCGAGAGTACGATTGTGATGCGGGTCCTGCGCGACATGAATCTCTCCAAGCTGATTGACGACGATGAGCCGCTCTTCATATCGCTGGTGTCGGACTTGTTTCCCAATCAGGTGAGCCACATATTTGGCTATAAGTAAAATATTATTAAATCTAAACTTCATATTAAATCTACCATTCGAACAGACTCTCGAAAAGACCAACTACCCTGAATTGGAAGCAGCCATACTACAGCAAACGGAAGAGGCTAGTCTGGTCTACCATCCTCCATGGGTTCTAAAGCTAATACAGCTTTACGAGACGCAGAATGTGCGACACGGCATCATGACCCTAGGTCCGAGCGGGGCTGGCAAAAGTACCTGCATCCATACGCTAATGAAAGCCATGACGCAGATGGGCGATTATCATCGAGAGATGCGCATGAATCCGAAGGCTATAACAGCGGCTCAGATGTTCGGACGTCTCGATGTGGCAACGAATGACTGGACCGATGGCATCTTCTCGGCGCTGTGGCGCAAAACTCTCAAGCTGAAGGCTGGGGAGCACGTCTGGCTGGTGTTGGATGGTCCCGTGGACAGTATTTGGATAGAAAATTTGAACTCTGTGCTGGACGACAACAAGACCCTGACACTGGCCAATGGCGATCGACTGACCATGGCGCCCACGGTTAAGATCATTTTTGAGCCACACAACATTGATAATGCATCGCCGGCCACGGTTTCCCGCAACGGCATGGTTTACATGAGCTCCTCCGGCTTAGACTCGCGGCCTAGTAAGGATATTTACTGGCAATCAATTTAATCTATATTTACAGTCTCAAAACCTTAGTTGTGCAGGCCTGGCTGAAAAATCGGGCTCCTGGCGAGAAGGCGATTTTCTCTCAGCTCTTCGATCAGAACTTTGTCGAGGTCTACAACTGGGGTGCACAGAATGTGAAGCTACAAATGCCTGTGCTGCAGTGCAATATAGTGCAGCAGATGCTGTTTATATTGGAGGGACTGATCCCAACCAAAAAAGAGGATGAGCAGGCTGTGAGCTTGTCCAGCAAGGAGAGTCAAGATGGTAAGTTCAATACCGAAGCGAATTTAACCCATATAGCAGTTGTACCCATCCAAAACGATTCAATCATCAGCGGCCAAGCGCCTTGAGCAACAAAAACATAACGAAGAAGTGCGACGGCAATCAATTGGCAGTCAGATTGTCGGTAAAGTATACAAAATTCGTAATCTCCTAATAGATAAATGTAAAGTGTAAAACCTTTCTCGTAGAGCTAACATTCTATAACCATAACTTATTGAAATTAATTTTTTGCTGATAACTCGCTTCTGTGTGTTTGTATTGAGCTGGAGCTGTAAAATCCATAATAATTCCTCTACTAAACCTAATTGCACCCAGTAAATTAGTCTATGTGTTTGTTCTGGGAAGGAAGCAAGCTTTTGTTAATGAAATCAAGCCTTGATTACGCTTGGAGTATATCTAGTATATCTAGATATACTATATGAGACTCTTGTCTTATCGGGCATTGGATAATATTTGTAACAACTTGCTGTTCCTTCCCATCCTGTGTACGTCCAATGATGTAGTAGTCCCCATGTAAGCCTGTGTTCCCCACTGATTCCCCATAGTTGTGTACTATATATATGTGCTCTTTGTGTGTCTTTGTGTACCGAGTGGGATTTGTATATGTGGATATTGAGAGATCTTGGTTTTAATTTGACAGAAATTCCAGAGGAGAACGCCGTGGAGGAGAAGGAGGACACTTGTACGCCGGAGCATTTGCACCGCTTGTATGTATTCGCGCTGGCCTGGGGCCTGGGGGGTTATCTCTCGACTACAGATCGCGTTAAAATGAATCTGTTCGTTAAGGAAACGTTTCCGCAGTTGGACTACCCGAAGGGTAGCGCCCATGAGAATACAATATTTGACTTTTTCGTTTCTCCAACGGGCGTGTGGCAGTCGTGGAAGACGCTGGTCACACCCTACATGTATCCGGAGCTTTCCACACCGGACTATTTAAGTATTCTGGTGCCCATTGTGGATAATGTGCGTATCGACTATCTGATCGGCACCATTGCCAATCAGGAGCGCGCCGTGATGGTCATCGGCGAACAGGGCACTGGCAAAACCGTCATCATGAAGAACTTCATGAAGAAAATGAACATTGAGACCTATATGGGAAGGTCATTCAATTTCTCATCGGCCACCAGTCCGTATCAATTTCAGCGCACAATCGAAAGCTACGTGGAGAAGCGAGTTGGTGTTACGTTCGGGCCACCCGGTGGTCGTAAGTTGATCGTCTTCATTGACGACATTAATTTGCCCGAGATCAATGAGTGGGGCGATCAGATAACCAACGAGATTGTGCGACAGTCGATGGACATGAAGGGCTTCTATAGCCTGGAGAAGCCGGGCGATTTCACCACCATTGTGGATGTACAATATGTGGCGGCCATGGGTCTGCCCGGCGGTGGACGCAATGACATCCCATCCCGTTTGAAGCGACAATTTTGTGTATTTAATTGCAATATACCCGACAACGATTCCATTGATAAGATCTTCCGCGTTATCGGTGAGGGTCACTACAACGCCAAGCGCGGTTTTGTGCCCGAGGTTCGCAATCTGGTCAAGAAATTGATAGTGGTGACACGGCATCTATGGCAGCGCACACGAGAAAAGCTATTGCCTACGCCAGCGAAATTCCACTACGTCTTTAGTTTGCGCGATCTGTCGCGCATCTGGCAGGGCATGGTTGGCACCTTATCCACAGTGATCACCGCGGAGAGCGTGCTCATGTCATTGTGGAAGCATGAGTGTACGCGTGTATTTGCCGATCGTTTTACCACATTCCAGGACAAGGAGTGGTTCGGCTCAGAGTTGGCAGCGCTAGTGCGCGAGGAGCTGGGTGAGTCCCATTCCCAAATGATAATACCGAATCCGGTATTTGTGGATTTCATGCGGGATGCCCCCGAGCCGACTGGCGAGGAGGGCGAGGACACTGATATGGAATTACCCAAGGTCTATGAACCGGTGAACTCTCATAACTCGTATGAAGCGCTACGCGAGCGTCTCGTTATGTTTCTCGCCCAATTCAATGAGATGGTGCGAGGCTCCGGAATGGATTTGGTTTTCTTCCCAGATGCAATGCTGCATTTGGTGAAGATCTCCCGCATCATTCGGCATCCGAGAGGCAACGTTATGCTAGTCGGGGTCGGAGGTTCTGGAAAACAGTCGCTGACGAAATTGGCATCCTTCATTGCCGGCTACAAGACATTCCAAATTGCGTTGACGCGTTCGTACAATGTGGCCAACTTTTTAGAGGACCTAAAGCTGCTCTATCGCACCTGCGGCGTTCAGGGCAAGGGCACAACCTTTCTCTTCACCGATATGGATATTAAAGAGGAAGGTTTCCTTGAGTATCTCAATAACATACTCTCGAGCGGCGTCATATCCAATCTCTTCTCGCGCGATGAGCAGGCCGAAATCGTGCAGGAATTGACGCCGGTCATGAAACGCGAGAATCAACGCAAAACAGCGACCCCGGAGAGTGTGATGGATTTCTTTTTGGCGCGCACCTGCACAAATTTGCACGTAGCTTTTTGTTTCTCACCTGTGGGAGAGACATTTAGATCGCGGGTGCAGCGCTTTCCCGCCTTGGTCTCCGGCTGCACCATCGATTGGCTGCATCCGTGGCCCAAGGACGCATTGGTCTCGGTTGCCAGACACTTTCTCAGCCACTTCGAGATTGAGTGTACACCGGCCGTTAAGGAAGAGCTGGTTAATGCGCTCGGCTCCATTCAGGACATTGTTGCGGAAACATCGCACGAATATTTCCAGCGTTTCCGTCGCGCCACTCACGTGACACCCAAGTCTTATCTGAACTTCATTGCCGGCTATAAAAACATTTACCAGCTCAAGCAGCAAGAGCTGCGCGATGGTGTGGAGAAGATGGATACGGGTTTGGAGAAACTGAAAGAGGCCTCCGCCTCGGTTGAGATTCTAAAAAAAGATCTGGTCGTCATGGAGGAAGAGCTAGTCGAAGCCTCCAAGAACGCCGAATCTGTGTTAGTCGAGGTCACTGAGCGTGCCATGCAAGCGGAGATAGTCAAGAATCAGGTGCTCATCGTCAAGGACAAGGCGGAGGCTCTCGTTGCCTGCATTGCCAACGAGAAGGCCTTGGCCGAGGAGAAGCTTGAGGCAGCGAAGCCTGCCTTAGAGGAGGCTGAGAATGCGCTGAATACCATCAAGCCAGCTCACATAGCCACCGTGCGTAAGTTAGGTCGTCCGCCGCATCTTATAATGCGCATCATGGACTGCGTGCTCATCCTGTTTAAACGCAAGCTGCACCCCTGTATACCCGACTCGGGCACACCGTGTCCAAAACCCTCCTGGCAGGAGTCCCTAAAGGTCAGTCAGTTCTGCTTGTCCACTAATTTCCACTCCAGGCTATTCTCTGATTGCATCTAGATGATGGCCAGTGCCACGTTTCTGCTGCAACTGCAAAACTACCCCAAGGATACCATTAACGATGAGATGATAGATCTGCTACAGCCCTACTTCCGCATGGAGGACTATAACATGGACATGGCTCGACGTGTGTGTGGAGACGTTGCGGGTCTGCTGTCCTGGACCAAGGCAATGGGCTTCTTCCACAGCGTCAACAAGGAAGTGCTGCCCCTGAAGGCGAATCTCACGCTGCAGGAGGCGCGCCTTAAGGTACTTTAGGTAAACAAAAAGCTAGAGCTCGTAATTCGTAAATACTTTACCACAGCTTGCCATGGACGATCTGGCTGGAGCCGAGGAGCAGCTGCGGGAGCGCGAGGAGGCGCTACAGGCGGTCAAGGATCAGTACGACAAGGCCGTAGGCGAGAAGCAACGCCTCATGGATGCAGCCAATGTCTGTCTGCGCAAGATGACGGCAGCTACGGCGCTCATCAATGGCCTGTCGGATGAGAAGCATCGCTGGACCAACCAGAGCAAAGAATTCAAAATACAGCTAGGCAAGCTGGTGGGCGACGTGCTCCTAGCCACCGGATTTCTATCTTATTGCGGGCCATACAACCAGGAATTCCGAGCTAATCTGATCAGGACGTGGATGGGCATACTCAAGCAGAAAAGCATTCCGTTTACCACAGGCCTCAACATCATCAATATGCTGGTGGACTCCTCGACGGTATCCGAGTGGACGCTCCAGGGTCTGCCCAATGATGATTTATCCGTGCAGAATGCGCTCATTGCGACCAAGTCGAGTAGCTATCCGCTGTTGGTGGATCCTCAGACACAGGGCAAGATCTGGATCAAGTGCAAGGAGGATCGCAATGAGCTTCAGATAACCTCGCTGAATCACAAATACTTTCGCACACATCTGGAGGACTCGCTATCCCTGGGCAGACCGTTGCTTATAGAGGATGTGGGCATCGATCTGGATCCGGTCATCGACAATGTGCTAGAGAAGAACTTCATCAAGTCTGGCAGCATTGAAAAGGTGTTGGTGGGCGATAAGGAGTGCGATGTGATGCCTGGCTTCATGCTCTATATAACCACCAAGCTGCCCAATCCGGCATTCAGTCCAGAGGTCAGCGCCAAGACGTCAATCATCGATTTCACCGTAACCATGCGTGGCCTGGAAGATCAGCTGCTGGGGCGCGTCATCCTAATGGAGAAATCCGACTTGGAAGCCGAGCGCGTGGCTCTCTTTGAGACGGTCATGCAAAATCAGCGCAACATGAAGGAGCTCGAAGCGAACCTCTTACTGCGCCTGAGCTCCTCGCAAGGCTCCCTAGTGGACGATGAGGCGCTCATCGAGGTGCTGCGTGTGACCAAAACCACGGCAGAGGAGGTCAACCAGAAGCTAAAGATCTCCGAGGTAACCGAACGCAAGATAATGAAGGCACGCGAGGAGTTCCGAGCGGTGGCCAAGCGGGGCTCCATTCTGTACTTTCTCATTGTCGAGATGAGCAATGTGAATGCCATGTACCAGAACTCCCTCAAGCAGTTCCTCGTCATTTTCAACAACTCCATCACCAAGTCAACCAAGTCAAGCGTCACCGAGGAGCGCATTAACATTATCCTGCGCTACCTCACCTACGAGGTCTACAAGTTCACCAATCGCAGTCTGTACGAGCGGCACAAGCAGCTCTTCACCCTGATGCTGGCCATCAAGATTGACTACCACAATGGGAATATCAGCCATGAAGAGTTCTTAACTTTCATTAAAGGCGGTGCTTCGCTTGATTTGAACGCTGTGACGCCCAAGCCGTTCCGCTGGATATTGGACATTACCTGGCTGAATCTTGTGGAGATTAGCAAGCTGGAGACCTTCTCGACAGTGCTGCAGATCATCGAGCTGAACGAGCGCGACTGGCGCAGTTGGTATGAGTGTGAAAAGCCGGAGAACGAGGAAATACCCTGCGGCTATAACTCCGTACTGGATAGCTTCCGCAAGCTGTTGCTAATACGGTCCTGGTGCCCGGATCGCACAATATCCCAGGCTAAGAAGTATATAGAGGGTGAGCTAGAATGGTAATTGTAATGCAGGCAGTGCTAATTCTTTGTCACTACAGAGTCTTTGGGGCCTGAGTACAGTGAGATGCAAATCTTGGATTTGGAGGCAACCTGGGCTGAATCCGAGCCACGTACGCCCTTCGTCTGCCTGCTGTCCATTGGCTCAGATCCGACGACCCAAATCGGTGCATTGGCCAAGCAGAAGGGCATTAGTATGTGGGATAGGGCATTCCATTAAACCTTTTCACTTTATGCTTCTCTCTCTCTCTCTCACCAGCTCTCAAGTGCGTTTCCATGGGTCAGGGCCAGGAGTATCATGCACGCAAAATGATCATGGAGTCAATGGCCCATGGCGGCTGGGTCTTGCTGCAAAATGTGCATCTATCGCTGCCGTTCTGCTCGGAGGTCATCGATATGCTGGTGGAGACGGAGCACATTGATGACACCTTCCGCATGTGGGTCACGACAGAGCCGCACTCCGAATTTCCCATTGGCCTGCTCCAGATGGCGCTCAAGTTTACCAATGAGCCCCCACAGGGCATTCGAGCCAGTCTGAAGCGCAGCTATCAGGTGGGTGTGTCTAATAACACAGAAAGAACTCTATTTCATTTTATAATATATTTTTATAACTAGAACATTTATAGTAATATTTTGCATCATAATTTAATCTATATCTATATATAAAATTTGCAGTTATTTCTTTTGCCTAAGAAATTTCTAAGAGTGTATTCTGTTAACTCCTTTCCCCTTATTTTTCTTTCGCAGTCGTTTACCCAGGACTTTTTGGACTACACCTCAGCCACCCAGTGGCCCTCTCTGCTGTATACCGTTGCCTTTCTGCACACCATTGTCCAGGAGCGGCGCAAATTCGGCCCGCTCGGCTGGAATATACCTTATGAATTCAATCAGGCGGACTTTGCAGCCAGCGTGCAGTTCATACAGAACCATTTGGACGAAATGGATCCCAAGAAGGGCGTCTCGTGGCAAACGCTGGTCTACATGATTGGCGAGGTGCAGTATGGTGGCCGAGTCACAGATGACTTCGACAAACGCCTGCTGACCACGTTCACCTCGGTGTGGTTCTGCGAGCAACTGCTGTCCAACACCTTTGAGTTCTACAAGGGCTACAAGGTGCCCAATACGAAGAGCCTGCAGGGYTTCATCGATTACATCAATAGTCTGCCCGCCTACGACACGCCCGAGGTGTTTGGATTACATTCAAATGCTGACATCACGTACCAGATTAACTCGGCCAAAGGTGAGCTCAAATTTAATTTTTTTCTCGGTTTTGGTTTTGGTTTTTCGATTATTTGCCATTTCGCTCAATTGAAACAATTGTTGAATTTCTGTGTCCAGGTCAATGACACAGCTCACTGAAGGACGAACAAATTGAAATGTTTTTTGGGGAAAGGAAAATTAAATGAAAGCGCTTTGTTATCTATTTAATTATATTTCAATATATAGGTGTGATTTAAGGCGTGAACTGAAAATGTTTCTGAATCTTGAATTGTAAGAACTAATTATAAAATACAACCTAGGTATAGTAATATAATAGTACACTGTTATTGTGCCCAGGGTATTCTCTAGTCGAACACTTTCTGGTTCCTTTTTATTTAACCATTTACATCTGAAGGCCTATTAATTAGCCGTATGACGTCAGAGCTTTGTAAGCCAGTCAATAAATAAGATAAATGCTTCTGATTTAATACACAATTTGCATTTGAGCATGACTGTGTGTGTGCGTGTGTGTGTGTGTATGGTGTTGGCTGCGACCAACCAATAAATGAATTATATACGTTTTAGTTGAGGTTTTTGTGGCTGATTCTATTTCCGGAGTCCACAAGGTGTAACCAATCGGCAACCACGAATTCGCATAAGCGACAAACAGACGACGCTTTGTACCTATAGTGTGTGTACAGGGTATATAGGATAGGTGCATTTTAAATATAGCTGATTTTACAGAGTATTACACAGTCTATAATTGCATCTTTTCACTTAACACTTTGCAGGCATACTTGACACCATCCTGAGTGTCCAGCCCAAGGAGGGCGGCGGGGGAGGCGGCGAGACTCGTGAGAGTATCGTCTATCAACTGGCCGAGGATATGCTGCGCAAGCTACCCGCCCAGTACAATGCGTACGAGGTGCGTGAGAATCTGACACGCATGGGCATCCTGCTGCCAATGAACATCTTTCTCAGGTGAATCAACGATGCCCGTGAAGGGGAGGAGGCGGCGGGGGCAGTGGTCTCTGCCTAGACTCGGTGTGATTAACCTATTTGTATACGTTTTTAGGCAGGAAATCGATCGCATGCAACGCGTCATCAAGCGCGTCCACACGTGCCTCTGCGATCTGAAGCTGGCCATTGATGGTACCATTGTGATGAGTCCGGCACTGAAGGAGTCGCTGGACGCCATGTACGACGCCCGCATCCCGGAGACCTGGATGAAGGTGAGCGTGTGCATGTCTGCGTGTGAAATTAGAGCAGATTTTACGCACTAGCATTTGCTTTGCCCTTAACTGTGGCAAATTTTATGGTCTCTTAGGTGCTGGCCAGCTGTAGCCTCTTTATGTGCGTACGAACGGGTCCCCCACAGCGAAACGTGGCCTAAAGTAATCTCAGCCCACCTTGGTTTTTGCTTTTCTCCTCCCCTTTTTTTTTTATTTTTTGTCTCACGAGATTTTTATCGGCCCACAAACACAAATTTGGTCCCGAAACTGGGCTGCTTTTATATAGTATGCTTATGTACTACATATATATTCATATATAAGTATGTATATAAAGAACCTCTGCTGGCTGGGAATGCCAAATTGTTGGCGCGTTTTCAATTGCCGCTTATAAAAGTTTGATTGATTTTGAGGGTTGGGATTCGGGTATGCAAAATTTATGCGTGTAAACGTTTAACGCCCCGGCACACCTTCTTTAATTGACACGCGGGCCAAGACAAGGGCAGACGATGAGTTTATTTTTTGTATTTTCGTTCAGTTTTATTTTTGGGGTATAAATAATAATTATTGGCCAACTCAATTGGGTATTTGAAACAAAGCAGATAAGTCCCGCTATTCTTTTATGATAGTCATGCAAGATCATTAACGATTTATCTTGCGAGTTGTCTGTTCGAAATATCGAATTTATGTCAATTTATGATGCAGAAATTATATAAAGAGTTTTTGCAGGTAAAATATTTATTTATTTCATTCACTGATAGAATTACATCGCTTTCAAAATGAAATACGACTTCTAATCACTTTATAGTACAAATTCATTTAAAATTTTAAGCAAATACTTTGATTATCAAATGACAACCGAAAAGCAAGCGTTGTATTACCAACCTCAGCTGACAACAAAAAACACTCGAACGGCATCAACATCACACAACACACACATTATAACAAATTCATACACAATTCGAGAAAGAACAGTTAAAAAAAATATATATAAAACGACTTATATAAGCGCACTTAAGGCATTGATATATTCATAAGAATATAAGAAGACTCGATTGGCCATCATGTTGAGGAGTTCACGTCCTAAGGCTACATTCAAGCCGCGAAAAAGTCTAGGCTTTGACTCCAACAATGTGAATGCAACTTCTCACATTCCATTGGAGGTGCGCGATTATGGATTTGTTAAAGTTACAAATGCAGGCACTCCGTATATTAAGAAAGACTCTCCAATTGACTCGAAATCGTTGATGGATCGACTCAAATACACTCAAGGGAAAATGAATACTTTCGGGTTGGCCATGTCATCGAGCGACAATGGGGATGATTTCTCTGATGAACTAATTATGGGTCAGCCGAAGCAGGAGATGACGTTTGAAATGAAACGAAAGCTGTTCCATATGGCTGAATTTACAATAACGAAAGGCAAGAAGACTAGCGAAATGTACCATCCACGGACTGAGAGTAAGCTGCCCAAGCATTCTACCCGGGAATCTCAGTTGAAAGCATTGAAAGACATGGAGGAGTTCTGTCATGCCATGAACATCAAGATAAGCAAAGGCTTCGGTCATTAGATACCATACATGTTAGCACGTTAACGCATTATGCCAAATTTATAATCTTATAACCTTAGTCAATAAAGTCCTGCGAGCTCAATACTTTCTTAATATGTGCCAATGTCAATGTCACTTTCATTCTTTAGATATCCTGGGAGTCTACAACGCTCGGCTTTTGGTACACTGAGCTGCTGGAGCGCAATGCCCAATTTCGTACCTGGATTTCGACGGATCGTCCAAGGGTAAGCACCTCATACTCTCGCATTCGCCTGTCAACCTGTCCCAGACGCCTGACATAAGCCAACAGAAAAAAAACTTGGCAGGCAGACACGCTAATTGCTTAATACATTCTGCTGAAACGCCCACTCTATTTTCGCCTTAACTCTTTCTTTTCATTCTGCGTAAATTTGTCAACATAAAAAGGTGTTCTGGATGACGGGCTTCTTTAATCCACAAGGCTTCCTGACCGCGATGCGGCAAGTGAGTATTTGTTATGCCAACGGAATTAGAGAAAACTCTTGAATAACGACCAAGTGAAAATTGTATATATCTCAAAGCGAGTTTAGAGATCAAGGTTAGATTTTCTCTTAAGCTGGATTATAAAATGTCCCTCGTCGCTGGGAATTACTGTGAATAATTAACGCATGCGTTGCTAAATAGTGTGCTACCCAAGGGAAATGATAAAAATTTCAGTATAAAAACGTGTTTTAGATATTTAAAAGATGTCCATTTTGTAATACCCTGTAAGGGATCTTGAGTATGAATCGGCTTTCGATTTTGAATGTATACAAAATTATGAAATTCTAAGGAAGATATAAAAGAAGTTTACTAAGTTAACTTAAGTACAGATACCAATTATATAATACTTATATAGAATATACACGTGCATTTTGTAAACTATGATTATCAACAACTATAAATACCCAACATTCTCATCATAAGCATATTATTTTTCTAGCAATTTATTGATATTTTATATATGTCAAGCTATTCACACATCCGTGCAATTATTTGTATTTCTCATGCAACAATTTGTGGTGCTTATCGAACTGCTTCTACTGCTGCTGCTGCTCCTGCTGCTCTGGCATTGCGTATACGTCGCGTGTGATGGCTGAAATTGTCAGGAGGTAACACGAGCGCACAAAGGTTGGGCCCTCGACTCTGTTGTGCTGCAGAATCAAATAACGCGCTACAACAAGGAGGACATTACCGAGTATCCCACAGAGGGTGTATACGTGCACGGACTGTTTCTAGAAGGTGAGTACATCGCCGGTGCCAGTACTGCCTGCCCTACCTCAACTTCTTTCAACTCAAGTGCTAGACCGCTGCCAATTGCTAGTTCGCATTCAGTGTCTCCCTTATATTTGTATATATTGCATATAATCTAACCGCAATAGCCATATTCAGATGTTTTCCTTAGTCCTTAGTCCTTGCTCGTTGGTCTAGGTTCATGCCCCTTTGTTGACCCGACAAATTGGACCTGGCTTGTTTGTGCGGTTTCTCTTTTTCCTCCCCTGCACCCGTCTACCTCTGTGTGTGATAATTTGAACGTTAAAGGCATAATTTGCATGTGGTGTGCTCCATCCTGCAGATCTTTGTTGTGGTCAGCTCTTGATTAGCTGTGGCAATGGAACACCAGAATTCGTGGAAGCTCCAAGTGCGCAGCTAAACGAAACTGTTTTGCATATTTGTCACATATTTTATATATAATATTTAAAATATGCTAAAGTTGCCTTTTTATTTTTTTGTCAAAAGGTTTTTCTGGTCTATACATATATTTCCTCGACATTTATATATTTATTTAAAAATTTAAATATGTAATAATCTTTATATATTGAATAAATATTGTTAAGCTACATAATAATAATATTCATCAATCAATAGCCTTTCTGATGTGGTTACTGAAAACTTCTTGAGCTCACATATTTTGTATTCAATGGATTTGCCAGCTTTATACCTTCAATTGCTTTTCATTGTTATCCGAGGAGATAGATAAGTGCCAACGAGTGGGTCTCTAACGGCTGCTACGTGACGCAATAACCCAATTTCGAATATGGCAATAGAAAGGGAATGCATTCAAAGAGAAAGTCAACAAGACTCCAAGTGCAGCGTACAAATTAAATTACGTATACGCAGCGTGCCACACCTAAATTTGGACTTTTACTTATATATTCATGGAGAAAAGTTAGCTCGGTATAGGATGTGGACCAGGTGAAGCCATTTCTCTTGGGGGCTTCTATAGGCTTTGTGTCTGTCTATTAAAAGACGATAAGTTTGGCCCCCAGCTAATAAAAAGAAAATCAACATGCGTGGGCCCTAGCACATGTGCTGCGAGTGTAAGCCAAGTTTATGGGATGAACATATTTACATTGTCACAATTAGGTGGAATTTGTAGGTATGGCTTAAAGTTTAGCTTCTTACTTGAATTTTATTGCAGGCGCTTCGCTGGATCGCCGCAGCGGCAAGCTGATTGAGTCCAAAATGAAGGTGCTCTATGAACAAATGCCGGTTATCTACATATACGCCATCAACACGACTGCCGGCAAGGATCCCAAGCTGTACGAGTGTCCGATCTACAGGAAACCACAGCGCACCGACCTCAAGTACGTGGGCTCCATTGATTTTGAGACGGACTTCAATCCAAAGCACTGGACACTGCGCGGCGTGGCGCTGCTCTGTGACATTAAATAAATACGGAGAGGGAACAACAACATGGACAACAAAATACACACACACCCATACATCCACTTGTTATTGTTTGCTCGGCTGTCAACTATTTTGTACGCGCTGCTTGGCCCTCGCAATGGCCCTCTGATAATTATCGTCTTCGGGAGTCCTGTTCTCGAAGGGGGCCAAGCCGCCTCTGTCTGTGGAGCGTCTCGTATAGTGCGTCAGAGACACTACAACTTTATTAATTATGTCCTCGAGCCATTCAAGTGGCGGCTCCCAGCGCACGTGCATCGTACACCATAATTAGCTGTTTGAACCATGTATAGAATTTCACTTAAGTGCGTTGTCCTCCGAAAATAAAATGTTCCTTGACTTATCTAGTAAAATTAAAATGAGCTTTTATTTTGGGAATGTCGCGGGCGAATAATCAACTTCAAACGAAACGACTTTCCTCGACTTACAATATGAGTATTCCCTAGAGTTTGATAAAATTTCAAGACTTTTTGAGTTGAATGCCATTTCAATATTTTTGTATTTTTTATTCATTGTTTTCATTAAAATAAATACATACAAGTATAATCCATGTAATATATATATATTTAAATATAATATTGAATATCGTATCATCTGATTCCATTTTTTGTTACTTTGATTCAGCTTTATTTATGAGAAAATCATTTATTTACATAGAGAAAATCAAATTGTTTCACATCGAATTCATTAATATACATAAGTTATTCGTGTATGCAAGTGTATATGTATGTGTATTGATTCGTTCCATTGACAACGCATAGATTATACATTTATATAGTATATCATGCATTTGTAGATAGTTAAATTGAATTAATTAGGGTAGGGTTGAGTAGCTCATCTACATTAAAATCGTTAGACATATTTATATGATTTGCAACCATTTGTTTCTCTTCAATAAGTTTCCTAACTCTGCTATTACTTTCATTTAGCTACAAAACATGTAAGAAAGTGGACTGTAAGAAAGTGGACTGTGTGCTTCACTGCTCGTTACTTTTAGCTGAGTCAGTAAGCTTTCAGTGTCTGAGACTCTTAAATGATTTACATTATTGGAATGTCTTGAAAATTGTATACAATAAATATTTTGAGCAGCTGAACTTGTTTATGCGGGAAGGACGATCTCTTTTTTTTCATGAAATTAAATGTGAAAGAACTGATAACAAATTAGCATTCCGCCCGCGGATTATTTTTAACTATTTGAGAATAATAAATAAAGCTTAGCAAATAGTTAGCAAAAATAATAAATTAAATAATTGATTGAAAATGGTGAAATATTGAATTACAATTTGAAGCTTGCATGCACACATACATCATATAGCGTACCTAAATATACATATATATATATGAAGCATGCATATTTCACTTTCAAAGATTTGCTTTTAAAAACTACACGTGTTTTAATTTTTGTATTTTTTATTAAACAACATTTTTCTGGCTTTTAACCAAATTCATATACATATACATATACATATACATATACATATACATATACATATACATATACATATACATATACATATACATATACATATACATATACATATACATATACATATACATATACATATACATATACATATACATATACAAATACA